TGTCTGTCTGTCTCTCTGTCTGTCTGTCTCCATACTGTTCTGATTTTTAAAATTTATTTAAATAAGCTCCAACCGTGTAAATATGAGTGGTATACATTTGGTCACTGACCCTCTGTGTTACTGCCACTTTTCTATAAAAGCAAGGCAAAGTAAACTGCCCCAAGAGGCGCCAAATCACTGTAATGACAGTGCGAGTTTTGTATTACTATTAAATGTTTCTTTGCTTACTCTTAGTTTATTCTAGTGGTACTTATATTAAATTTCTGTATTTAGTTTTATGTAAAATTAAGATAATGACACATGGCAGGAAGGGTCATTTTCGGGGTTATTACCCGTGATCTATCCTTTTAGCACATTGCCAGGCACAAGATAAGCCATCAGTGTAGGTTTATCCCTGGTCCATAGTGGCCAAGATTTTTCTGTAGTAGTCAAGATTGTAAGTAACAGCTTTACTAGCTCTTAGTTTAAATAAGGACCCAATCCTGAGAATCTAGCTAGTGATTAAATTGTACCCGTCACCTACAGTGTACTAGTTCTGCATATGCAATTCTGTTAGAGGTTTCTTTAAAAAGTTTTCTTTACCTTGAATTCTGTGTCCCCCCAACTCTCTCTCTCTCTCTTGTACTGAAAATTGGGAAGAGTACTAATAGGAATTTATAAATGAAAGACTCAGATGTTTAAATCTCTGGAGGTCTTCCCTGTACCTCCATCGACAAAAGAAAAGGAGCCAGAGAATATACCACAACCCAGTAGATATTAAGAATAACACATGGCAATCCCATGTATGGGTGTGGCCAACAGTGGAGCTTCAAAATGCATGCAGTATTACTGATAGAGCTAACAGAAGAAAGATAAATTGACAATCAACTCCCCAATCCTCTGAAGTGGGTCAGAACAGGGCATCAACAAAATTAATTGTAGGGCCACAGCATATACTAGATGAGAGATTGACAGACTTTTCAATAAATGATCACATGGTAAATATTTGTTTTGTTTTGTTTTTGTGGTACCGGGGATCAAACTCATGACCTTATGCTTGCTAGGCAGGCGCTGTGCCACTGAGCTATATCCCCGGCTCATGGTAAATATTTTATAATTAGGGGCCAATTGTAATTAGACTGTCATCCTTGTTTGATTACTGCCAACAGCCCTTTAAAAGTGTAAAAACAGATTTTATAGATTATACCAAAAACAGAGCTACAGTTTGCTGCACTTATAATTTTTATCTCTTTCCAGGTGTGACCTTAATGGAATGGGTTTTTATACTTTTGAGTGTAACAGGACTTCAGAGCCCACATAGGCAACCAAAAAATGCTCTAATTTTGAACCGACTTCCCCACAAGAGAAATTAAACTCCCAGCCCCGGTCACCTGTGAAAGTTTATTGTCCAAGAAGATGAAAATATGTGAGGAAAAATCTTCCATTAGGAAGTTATTCTACATGTCTTTTATCAGAGATTTTAAACATTTCAATCCTCTAAAGTTTGGAAATTTGTGATCTGATAGCTTTACCTGAGGCTCCTATTTTTCCTCTAGTGTTTATACATATTCTTAGAGCTTTCTTCTTTTGTGTTTTCCTATTTGTCATTCATTATACTGTTGCATGTAGTACAGTAATTTTCTACTGGTCCATTTCTGTGATTCTCAATGCACTACAGTGCTTGGCATATAGTACAGATTATTGAAGGAGTATTTAGGTAAACTAGGGATATGTCTCCAACTGTATGACAGGTTTTCTTGCAAAAATAGTGATCTTCTTTTGTCATGGCTTTAATACTCCCTTTTTTCAACACTTACAAAATCCCACATGGCTTTTTTGTTTGACTGATTTTTGCTTTTCTGAGACAGAGTCTCACTATATAGTCCAAGCTAGCCTGGAACTCAGTATGTAGCTCAGGATGGCCTGGAATTCACAGTGATCCTCCTGCCTCAACCTCCCAAGTGCTGTAATTACAGGGATATGCCACTGAACCGGGTATCCCACATGGCTTTTTAAATACAGTATCCTTTTCGATTGCTACCTCCTACATTGGAATTCTATAGTCCAAGTTTTAACACATTTGTTAACATATACTGCCATCCTTTAAAGGAAACATGCATAGGTACACACAAAACCTCAATGGTCCTAGTGTGTATGGTGATTTATTTAATTATGTTATATTCAGGTAATAAAAAAACCTAACCTTTAAACTTTCTACACTTATAGCCAAATAAATAAGTTTACAATCTTAGTCACAGATTTTAATGTTCTTCTGGCATGTAGTACAAAACCTAGAAAAATTTAGAAACTTAATAAAAGCAATCCTACTAAGCAAATTAAATTCATAGTACTCTAGTATCACAATGTTTCAATAAAAGCAAATTGCCAAGATTAGAAAAATCATCCTGTGCCTTTTCCTGTTCACAAATAAAATCATTTAGACAGTCACTGATATGAATCTGAAAATGGTTGTGATATCTTTTTCTAAAATTTAGTAGTAGAAAACCATCTAGACTTAAACTCAGATGTATCAATAATTTCATTAATTGTAAATGAGCTAAACAGTAATTAAATGGAACAGATTATAAGACAGGTTTAACACAAAAAACAGGACCCAACAAAATGACTACAAGAGATATGCTTTAAATACAGAAGTACTGAGTAGTTGAAAATAAAACTACAAAAGCTGGCATGCTATCAGAAAAATGGACTTAAGCATGTGGTATTTTAAGAGATAGGGTAATTTCAAAAGAATAAGAGCATAATTTAAAAGCTATCTCATGTGTGTGCACCCAATAACTTCAAAACATGTGAAACACTACTAACATTACTAAAAAGAAAAAGATGAGGGTCAGCTACGGTGGTGCACACCTGTAATCAGAAGGCTGAGGTGGGAGGATTACAAGATTAAGGACATCCTGGGCAACTTAGCATAACTGTCTCAAAAGATACAAACAAAAAAAAAAAATAGAAGATGAATTCACAGTCAGACTTTTATATTCCTCTCTTAGTACCTGATAAAATAAGTAAAAATAAAGACATGAAATGTTTTAATAGCTATGAAATATACAATGAACATTTACTGAACTGTGTCAAAAACCTCAAGGTACACGTTCTTTTTAAGTACACTGACTTGCTCTTGCTAATCAAAAATGGAAAAACAGAAGTATTAAAAAAAAGCAGAGATTAGCATATAACAAAGTCATTGCAGTAAAGATTACTTTTGAAAAAAAGGTTTTCATAAGACCATTTCACTTTGCATTTTAACCTAACAAATTCCATATGTATAATTATTAAGAATGCTTAAGGAGGGCCGGGGATATAGCTCAGTGGCACAGTGCCTGCCTAGCAAGCACAGGTCATGAGTCTGATTCCTGGTACCAAAAAAAAAAAGACTTTTCAAGAATGCTTAAGGAATAAGAAAACCATTGACATTATTCTGGGATTTTGTATGTTTCTTAGGTATTCATTGCTCAGTCCAGATCATCTGGAAGTCACCGAGATGTTGAAGATGAAGAACTTACAAGAATCTTTGTTATGATACCAAAGTCCTACACAGAAGAAGATCTACGGGAAAAATTTAAGGTATTTATGTTTTCTAATCACCTGCCATTTGTGATGACTCAGTCCTTAAATGTTGTACAGTTACTAGAAATTAGAAAATAGTAATGAGGTAGCCCCCTGCCAAACTTATCATGAAAAGATAGATTCACGTGCAAAGCTCAGTGAGTTTTAAGTAAGATCACACGGTTAGTAGCTGATAGAGCTAAGGTGTTTTTTTTGTTTTGTTTTGTTTTGTTTTGTTTTGTTTTTTTGGTTTTTCTCCGGTACCGGGAACTGAACTCACGACCTTGCGCTTGCCAGGCAGGCGCTTTGCCGCTAAGCTAAATCCTCAGCCCCTAGAGCTAAGGTTTAAACACTCTTAGTCCTGATCCTGCTTTTGATCTTTAAAATTTTAAAGTACTTTCCTATCACTTCTATCTATTATCTGTTACCTGTTATATAGAGGTGAGTCAGCCAGGCCTGATTATGTGAACCGTTATCTAATATTAATTATGGACCTATGGTATGTTGACAGTTTACACACAGAAAGGCTTTCTTTTTGGGGGGCGTCTCTTATCATTTATATATTTTTGTCCTAAAATTGGGCATGTGTAGGACTTATATTGAAGGAAACAACTGCACCTCTGAATATAGATAATAGTAAATGAAATTTGAAGTTAATTTTTAATGTTTATAGCAATTCATTTTTATCTGCAGTGGTAAACTTCCACTGCAGTGGTAAATTTTAAAAATTTGTTAAAAGCAGTGTTTAAATTGTTTTGAGTTACACTTTTAAATTTTTTTTCTACTTATGCTACCGATAACATGGATCAGGTGGGCAAAAAGCAAGAAAGATAAACAAGCAGAAAAAAGTGATTTTCAAACTTCCTTATTCTACCCCAAGTGAAAGTTGAATAAAATACCTTAAAAATAACCTGTCAAAAAGATATATTCCATACTTCTTATAGTAAGAAAAAGTGTTTTTCTTTCTATAACTTTTTCTTTTTTTCAGAGTAGCAAATAAGACTGTTTATCTAATGTATATTAATTAAGTTACTTGTTGGGTATACAAAAATTTATTAAAACAAACAACAAATACCAAGAATTTCTATCCACATTTCTTCCAACATTAAAAATAAATATTAGTGCATATTTGTCAAATAGATTATTAATATTTCGAATGAGTTAGAGATATAGTTTGACTTGCTGTCCTTCAAAAGAATACATAATCATTTATGCTCCTGCTAGAAGACAGTTAAACAATTACAACTAATGTATATTGAGTATTTAGTATGTCCAGGTTTCAGTCTAGAAAGCCCAATTCCAGAACCTCTGCCCCTGAGTACAACTAACACTTTAAAGCTACCCAGACCATATGCAAGTCTTTTCTCTCTATGAATTATCTCCTCTATGACCTATGCAAATTATTTTATTTCTGTAAAGCTCAGCTTCCTTCACTATGAAATAAGCAATAAAAAATATCTTGTGTCCTTGAAGGGTTTCTTTGATTGTAAGCAAGAAGCATGTATGTATTAGTTAGCTTTCCTATTACTAGACAAAAATACATGACACTCACATCTTAAAGGAGGTGAGCTTTAATTTGGCTCATATTTTAAGAGGATTTAGTCTGTGGTCAGCTGGCTCTAAGAAACATCATAGTAGGAGGACATAGTGAAGCAAAGCTATTTAGGTCGTGGTGGGCAGGAACCACAACAAGGAAACAGCCTTAGAAAGGAGAGAGCAAGGGATGAGACATAGTCCCCCTAGGCCATGCCTTCATAACACACCCAGAAGTATACTCCACTAGTGCCTCAGGTGGATCCCAAAGCAAATCAAGTTGACATACACCCTATCTACCATATCACACCTTGGCAACAAACATTTTAAAACCATACCTAATCTCCAAATAAATACGTTAGCAACTTTATGGTTTTGCCTAAATTAATACAACTATACCATGTTCAAACAGAAACACAACAGTCCCTTCCCCAAAAGTCCAGAATTCCAGCATTTTTCAAAAGTCAAGGTCAAACTCTCTTTTGACACTCAAGGCAAACTCTTAAATTGAGAACCTCTGTGAAAATAGCAAATAAGTTACATAATCCTAAATGTACAGAGGCACAGGGAGAACATTTCCATTGCAGAAGGAAGGAATAGGGGACAGGAAGGAATTAGACCAAATGAAGACTGAGTTCCACCAGGGCAAACATTATTCCTTGTAGCACACTATCTGGCAATGGGCATATGGCAGTAAAATGTGAGTTACAGAAGGCTTGGGCAGCCCCATCCCTGTGGGTTGCCAGTTGAAATCCACATAGCCTGTCTCTTGGGCTGGTTCCACTCATAATCTGCAGCTTTCCTTTGCAGATATTCCATGTTCCTGGCACCTTCAACTTGGCTGGGTTCTCTACTGCACCTTCAGCTTCATTCCAACCGATTCATGTACTGCCCTTGCAGAGCCTCCTTGCCTGGACTCCCAAGCCTTCCTTTGAAATCTGTATGGAAGCCTTTTTGACCCCACAACTCTTCATTCTGCATGCCAGTATAATCAGCATCATACCGATGCTACCAAGCTCTGATGTCAGTGGAAGCAGTAGCCATTCCTCTTAGACCATGGCTACAGAAGTCTCTTAAGAGGCTGGATGGCTGAGAATAGTGAAAAGAATATTATGAAACAAATTTCCTAGGAGGTTCTACTTGAGCAGGGGGCCTAAGGCCTCTCTTCTTAAATAAAATGTTGACAGTTTGCACCCTTAGGTCCATAATGAGTGGACTCTTACTGATTTAATAGGGCATCTTCTTGTCCCTGTACAAAGCACTTGGTTTCTTTTAATGCTGGTAATATCTTCAGCAGGCATACTTCCTTTTGCCCCAACTTTACTTTGGCTCATTTTCTGCCAAAATTTAAGTTTCTCTGTTCTGCCTTTTGCCCCTGATTCTTACTATAAATCTGACTAAAATCAGCTAGCAGTACCTATGCCAAAACCTGAATGTTGAGCTATCTTGAAATTTCCTCCACCATTAATCTCAGTCTCCTGCAAAGTCTCAGGACACTGACAAAATGTGGACAAACTTTTTGCCAGAATATAACACTCCTGACCTCTACTGCAACTGCCAATGGAGTCCTCCTGCCCATCTGAAAACTCCTGAACCTGGCTTTTACTGCTTGAATTCCTGTCACTATTCAGGTCTTCTGAGCACTGACCAGAAATACCCATCAGAATGTATTTACAGCATTCTGTGACTTCTCTATCCCATATCTAAACTTTTCCAAATTCTTCCCCAAAGCAGTTCAAAGGCTTCTGAGCCACTTGGTCAGATTGAGTTACAACACTGACCCTACTCTTTGTTCCAGTTTTCTGTATTAGTCAGCTTTCCTATCAGTGACCATAATACCTGATACCCACAAGTCAGAGGAACAGAAATATAAGCTTAATACCTGACTACCACAACTTAAAGGAAGAGAGGTTTAATTGAACTCTCATTTTATTGGGATTCAGCCCATGATTTTGGCTGGTTCCAAGGCAGAAGCATAATGGCTGGAGGGCATGGTAGAACAAATTTTAGTTTATGACAGCTGGGAACCAGAGCAGGGGAGCAGTGGCAGGGAAGAAGAAGCAAGGGACTAGACATAGACCCCAAAGCCGTGCCTTGGTGACTCACTAAGACACACCCCAAAGTGTGAGCTTCCAATCCCCCAAGTGGATCCCAAAGCCAGTCAAGTTAACACTCCACCTGCATGGTCACAAGGCATGAATAATCATACATTTAAAGTTAGTTCTGAAATAATCTCTTCAGTTACTAATTTTGAGTCCCCTAAGATCATGTCTTTTAACTCTTATAGGTGTATGGAGATATCGAGTATTGCAGCATTATTAAGAATAAAGTCACTGGAGAAAGTAAAGGTTTGGGCTACGTACGATATTTAAAACCATCACAGGCTGCCCAAGCAATAGAAAACTGTGATCGAAGTAAGAATGTTAATGACTTTCTTTAAAATTCCAATTATTCTAAATAACTGAATCTAATATTGGTTTTTGCTAACATATCTAGTAATTCTTAACAGTGGATATTTAATTATACATAATTCAAAGATGAAAATATTTTGGGGTAGTGATTAAGCATTCGCAGAAATGCTCGTGGAGAGAAATCTGAGCAGCCACATTAAGATAGCACATGCAGTGCATATGTTGGTTATTTCAACAGGTTTTCAAAATATATATATCTCAGAATTTAAGGTGTTAAAATCTGATTTGCTCTTTCAGTTCTTTTAATACTTCTACCATATTTATTCATTTTTTTAACCTAAAATCTTAAGTAGAATTAAATACTAATAAACATGTATGGTAAGCATAGGATTTCTAAGGTTTCCTAACCCAGATATTTAATTATAGAATTGATCTCAAGCTAAGAGTCAGGGTAATTGAGTCTTCTGCTGTTACTAATATGAATAATAAAGACTAAGCATTTTAAACGTGATGAAAAATAGTCTTTGTCATCATACTACTAACTGCACTGACTTTTAGAACTAAATTGCTGTTTTTAGATATTATGAGAATTTATACTTACATGAAAAAATTGTTAATAGAATTCTTAGATACCCTGAAGGTCCACACCAAAGTTTCATTGTAGAGCCTTCTAAATTTCCCATTAAGCCAGCCTTCATTGAGTACCTATGCTACACTCATTAATATGCTAAGTATTTTACAAATAAAATATATGGCAATCCTGGCATTTAAGGATTTTGAACCTACATTAGGCAGCAAGACATAATAGGTAAAAAATACTGAATAATTTTAAATGCTCTTCAAAAATAAGAAATATGTCTTATTTGTCTTGCCATCACCCAAATACCTAGCATAGGGATAGGCTTTAGTAAAGATTTCTTGAGCTCTCTTCCATAGTAACTTCTAGTATTTATGGTAGACTCAGTAAGAATTTGCTAAGTGAAAGAAGTATTGAAATGCATGTGGGATAGTCTATCAGTGCTGAGCAACAGGTGCACAGAGTGAGCATGGAGACACATTCGGAGGAGATGGGACTTGCGTCTGGTATCAAGTGGGCAGGGAAAAGGTGGGAGTGATGTTAGCAAAGACTCGGAGCCAGGAGTGAACATGTCTTGGTCTTCGTGTTGGGGAGACAGTTGCGTGAAGTACAGTATTCCTGCTGAGAAATTATGAGACAAAGTCAACTAAGTACACTGGAGCCACATTTGGGAGTTCATGCAGAGTTCCAACTTAGTCCACGTGAGGATTCTCTTGTAGTTTGTTTAAAAATAATAAAGCTTAGCTGGTTGTGGTGGCACATGCCTGTAATCCCTGCACTCTGGGAGGCTGGGCCAGAAGATCACAAGTTTGAGCCCAGCCTAATTTAGGTAACTTAGCAACTTAGCAAAACTATGTCTGAAAATAAAAAAATAATAAAGGGCTGGGGATATAGCTCAGTGCCGAGGGCCTGGGTTTAGTCCAGTCTCATTACTGTAAATAATAATAATTGATAATATGTAAAGCTTACAGAATGTTTGACCTAATCACAGTATTAAGGATAGATTTTCATAGAAGGAATTCAAACTGACTGGTTTTATCTTGTTTGGAACCACAGTATAACATTATGAAAGCTGCGAAACCTTAAATACCACCTATGCATAAGTATTTTATTTAAAGTTTTAGAGAGTGTTCTTCCCCACCTTTTGTATCTCATGTTTAGTTAAGAACCCTCCATCCAGAAACAGTGAGACCACTTAAAGGGCTGTTGTTATTAATTGAAGAGATTCTAAATTGAAAACAGGCATAGAAGGTAGAGTAAAAGATAACATACTAAGTGTATCTCAAAGGAAGAATCTTGGTGGCGGGTTAAATGGAAAGAAACCAGCAGGATTTTGTTGTTGAGGAATGTGGATGAGTAAATAATATCATGTGCAGTTGAACTGCATCATTGACCCATAAGTTGGGATTCTTGCTGTTGGATTCATTGTTTGCTACATCATTCAGAAAGCAAAAAGTAGGTCTGGTAGAAATGGCTATGTATAGATTTTGCTTTGTACAATTAGACTGTTAAGCTAAGTCAGGCAGTAGCAGCCATGTATATATACAGGTATATTAAATTTGCAATGAAACTTGAAATTCATGGATTCTCTTTTTCAGGTTTTAGAGCAATCTTGGCTGAACCAAAAAATAAACCATCTGAATCCTCAGAACAAGATTATTATAGTAATATGAGGCAGGAGGCTTTGGGACATGAACCTAGAGTAAATATGTTTCCATTTGGTAAGTAGACTACTTTTACTTCAGTAGTAGATTCCTTTATGCACTTTAAGTTGAGTGTTTTTTAAACTATTTTATTGTCATTAGTCTATAAATCTCATCTAGTGAATAAAAATCTTAAAGGTAGTTTTATTTCCTAAAACGAAGCTCAAGACTTTAAATTCCTTATTCCTTAACACTTATTTTGTTTAACTTATTTTCCATTAGTTTTCTCTGATTATTTGAGAATTATCTAATTAAACTATGTCAACACCATTTTTTAGTGAACCTCTGCTTTATGCAGCTAATCAAAAAGTACAGAAAATAGATGCAGATATCCCTTCAGTATGAGTCCTAATATTTTGTCTCAAAACTGGCTGGTTTAAAGTTAAGGCTACAGAAAAGAATGACAAAAGTAAAAGCTAGAGGAAGGGGAATGTAAGTGATGAAAGCAAGGTCTTTAGATGATATTTGCCATAAAATTCTTGGCATGTTTTTCAGTTTTACATAATGAGCTTCGTCCTGTCTGATAAGACTTGGTGTTTCTGTGATGAAGTTGGGTGATGGGAGAGTTGTGTGCTTTCTTCTCATTGGTCCCTTCTGGTCGTGCTGGTGACCAAAAGCATAATACAAAATGCGGTACCTTTGTTCACTGCAATGGACTTTTGTTTTCTGATGCATAAAGTGTGACATGACTTTTTGAATATCAAAACTTAATATTTTCCTTTGTTTTTTAAATATTGTTGGAGATCAACAATCTGAATTTCCAAATTTTGACAAGAATGAGAACAGAGGCCAGGAAGCTATCTCCAAACGCCTATCAGTTGTATCAAGAGTTCCTTTCACTGAAGAGCAGCTTTTCAGCATTTTTGATATAGTACCAGGATTGGAGTATTGTGAAGTTCAACGAGATCCTTATTCAAATTATGGTAAA